TACAGTGCGCGAAATAATTATATGCGCACATGAAAATCTTGGTTTTGCGGAGTAGTCCAGACAATTGCTTTGATCTGAACTTGCCCTACGTCGTAAAAGTGAGTTTGCAGTGTGGTGTAAGCGCAAAAATATCTAAACCTAGCTTAAAAGGGATAAAACTAGAAATCGCGGAATATGTATCAACTCCCTACAACAACATTGTACGCCAATTCACACCGGAAGTCCAACAACCCTCGTGAGGGAAACAATCGAAATGCCTATCATAAGTGCAACATCCTTGCTCATGTCGTGCATGGAAGCAAGACAACCATCATCTATTCATGGGGCATCTTCAGCCCGTGAGCAACACACACAAGGAAGGACGTGGGCTAGACTGCCCCAACGAGTCCCACATTTTACGGTGGAGCGTCGTGTGTGTAGGTAGGTCATGCCCGCAAAAGAGGAGCATGCCGCCAAAGCAAAGACTGTTTGAACAACAAGAAACCACACAAAAAACATTTGTCTCGTGTCGGATCTCATGTCGCCCTTGCTTTGCGAACGGATCCACCGGACCTCTCGATGATTTGCGTCCCCGAGTAGAAGTTTGACGTGCGTTGGAGCAACGAATGGCGTCGAATGACCATTGTGGCCGCTAAGTCGTCGACGATCCATGGATTTATCATACGCACGAGGTGATCATGTTCTCGGTACGACCAGCAGTGTGCCGGCGTTGTTGCTGTTTATCGTGGTGTCGTCCACGCCAAAATGTTAAGCGAGTGGCTCGTGCGCAAGGAAGGCAGGAGAACGTCGCCCTCGCTCTGATTGTCATGCAACGGATCAAGGCAAACGAATTCGACCGCATGCACTTGGTCGGGAACGTCAACGGTTCCAACGGCATTAATGTCGACGACAGGATCGACACGGCCGAGAAGACGTCGCAACACCTGTCCGACTGTGGTGAGGCGTGAATTCGACATCAGCCCACGACATTGTCGCGTTCTAATTTTACACCTAATGAAGGAACAGCCTACGTGGACAACATTGCGAGACATCCATGAGCGAGGGCAAAACATGCAGATGGCGCCGATACCATGGAACTGCATAAAGTATCGCTCTCTCAATCAATTATCAACGACTTTCAGCGACAAGGCGCGGTGGGACCTACGTTTGTGGCGCGGACGTCAAAGGACAATACTCCATTCGTTCACAATGTGCATACCCCCGAGAGATCCAAGTGGCGGCACGCATCGGTCTAGCCACTGCATATTGTCTCGTGCCATCTTTCACGGTAATCGTTACCGAGCATACTTCTATGGCCCTCTATACGCGAACTGGGACGCTCCAAGGATGTTGGCAATGATGCCTGCGTGACCCTGACGATTTCTGCGCCATATGTATGGCGCAGAAATCGACACTCATCTTGGAGGTCTCGTTGAGGACATGTCAACGGCTCTTCGACCAAGGCAAACTGATGAAATACGAGAGGCGGCAGCACACCCCGAAGCGCCAAGCAAGTATGCCCAACGCCACCACTTCTGCGAGTCAACCACTAGGAATGAGATCATCTGGTCTGAGGATATTCAAGTCATCCGCGATGGACAGGATGGGTTTCAGTCCAACTCTGACGACTACGTGGAAACGCTAAAAAACTACCTGCTACCATTTGGTCGATGACCGTCGCTTCCAGTTCATGCAAAACAATATGCATCGAACAACCGGGCCTACTCGACGATGGCGTGGTTTGTACACAACAAAGGTGGCATATTTGAGCTCCCCCCTATCTCACAAGACGTCAATCCTTTTGATATCTTGTGAGGAGGTGAGTTGGAATGGCGAGGTGTGACTACGCCATCTATAGGAAGCTCGCATACTTCCATAGTCCTTCTAACTGGCTTGTAAGGAACCATCTATTGGTTGCAGGAGCATGTCGTCAAAATCAACGACAGAAATATTAAGTGGCTTGAATCGCGGGCACTGAATTCACGTACGAAATTTGAGGTGATTTTGTGTTGATTTGATCGAAGTATATATTTTGGTTCCTCGATGATGTCGGCCACTGTGTGGCACAGGGTCGTGCAGGGACAGGGTGATAGTGTGACGCGGTCGACACGATAGCAACTTGCCCTAGCATTCTTGGTGAATCAAATTGTGAATGCAATGACACCTTTTTGTGGTAGCCACCTGGGCGTCAGCGCAATGAGATGTATTTGTGAAGCTCAAAAGACCAACGCACTCGACGAGCGCAAGTGCAGCATTCGTCGCGTACTCGGAGCCGACTTGACATGGACCAGATCAAAGCAACACAAATGGACTTGCAGGCCGCTGGCTGACCAACCGTATCAAGGAAAGGAGCAACGCGTACGATTGCGAGCGTTCAGCTCCATGATGAATTCGTATCCAGTGAAGCTGAATTTGACCCACGGCAATCAAAAGAAGCGACGGCTACGATCTCGTCTGCTTTGACCAGACGACACGAGAGAATGAAGATAACAAACGTGAGACGTGCAGCCACTTTATGGACAAGTTAACCGAGTTGTATGAAACCTCGTACTAACATAGTTTTCTGGCTGCGTGGCGATGACAGCCAAGTGGGGTTGGATGAACTCGCGGGCGACCGACACGCGCGAGTACACACTAGGGTACTTAGAATCGCAAAGAGAGTCCCAGCTCGCCACACCGGCGACGTACTCGACACCGTCGCGTTTGATGATCAACGGTCCGCCAATGTCGGCTAAACACGGGCTCTTGCCCGCGGCATAGGCGCACAACATGGACTCCGAGACTTCAACTTCGCCTTCCAGAACCTTTTGGCACTCGTTGTTGGACCAGATGTTAAACTTGGCGCTCAAGAGTACGGGGGAGTTTTTCCCGAGAGTCGCGGTTTTACCGACGATCTCCTCGAAAAACGAGGTTGCGCCGAAGCCAAGTACCCACGTCTCGGTGTCGGGTTCAATCGCGTCCCAGTTGAGCGCGACAGGGTCGAACTTGGATTCGGATTCCAATTCAAGGATGGCAAAGTCGTACTCGAGCGTCGTGTCGTTGAACTTGGGGTGCATGATACTGTTTACGATCTTGATGCGTTCGCCGTCCTTGTCGCCGATCGAGTTGTGCGATCCGATCGACGCGTAGTTGGCCGACGTGTCGACGCAAGACGCGGCGGTGAGGATTTTCGTGGGGGAAATCAAGGTCCCTCCGCACAAGGTATCTCCGGACTCGGTGTCACGGAGACTTGCCACGTACTTGAACTGGTCTAAGGGGACTTCAGTGCCGCCGACGATTTCGGGTCGGGCGGCGGCAAACGCGGAGAGGGCAGCGAGGGCGAGGAGCGTGGTCATGTCGACGTAAATTGCACAATGGCAACACAACAAGTCAACGTGAAAGCGGTGGGCGACGAGATATTCCAAACCAACCCGTCGATGTGACACGGTGCACTCTCCCCTACAGCATTCGATTCGTCCCAACATACAGGCGCCAATTCTATCACTCTATGGACAATGCGACACGCTTCGGACACATACGACAACGACTTTACCTAGTTCGTTGGTGAAAGTGCAATTCCAATGCTTGGATGGGAGAAGCGTTAGAGGCAACCTTTCGTGATGAGAGGAATCGTTCGGTGACACGCAAATTGGGGTGCACTCCTCGCCAAGGCACCGCATGCAGGACATTATACACGAGACGTCCTGGATGATTTCCTGGGCGGATGAGTGTCCTTGCACTTTTAAGAGAAATACCTCAAGGACGTATCCAACGCGTTTCGCATGTGGGAACCGGGACAAGGTTCTTTCGTGTTTATCGCATTTACATGCCACGTGTCCGTTGGCGTGATCGTGGATCGAGTTGTATTCATTTTTGTCGTTCGAGGGCTGTTTTGACTCGTACCGACTTGGTAGCGATGCCACTTTGTCGCACGATTGGAACGGTTGTTCCAATGCTTCGTCGGCATATTCGTGTCTCAAGTACGTATCCACTGTGTTTCGCATACTCGACCCGTTCTTTCATGTTTGTCGCAACAATGTGCCACCTCTGAGCTCGCCTGATGGTGGGTCGAGATGTATTCATTTTTGTCGTTGGCGCTTTCAGGTTTGTTGGGATGCGTACCACCTTGATACTGTGAACCCC